AATTTCCTATTAGTATTTGTAAAATAATGCTTTTTAATAACAGCATTCAATTGATGATCTAAGTGTGCTTCACAAATATAAACTGAATAAGCCTTGCAGCATCTCTGTAGTATTTAAAGGATAACTTCTGAAATTCAGTCACATCTAAAATGGAATGGAACAGTATAGCTTGCAAAATGCTTAAACAGACCAATTTAGTGGAGGAAGTGAAGAACACTGTATCCGGGTGAACTCACAGGGGGAAATGTTGTTATAGGGTAGTCAGTTCTATTGTACTGAATCCTGGTACAAGAATGTAATTGTAGATTTGGAACTGTATCTTCCAGCTGTTTGCAATATAAAGACGGAGGGAAAAATGCAACAAATGCTATACTGACTCAGCACCTGAGTGTTGCAGTGTAGTATTGTTCATTCACATCCTTTTTGTGTTTTTGTTCTAGTTTGGAGCAGAATTCAGAAGATTTTCTCTAGATCGTTACAAGCCAGGAAAGTTTGAAGACTTCTACAAACTTGTTCTTCACATTCACCACATTTCCAGTACGGAGGTGATGATCGGGTATGCTGACGTACACGGGGATCTTCTTCCTATTAATAATGACGATAACTTCTTCAAGGCAGTTTCAAGTGCAAACCCACTGCTCAGGGTTTTTATACAAAGGCAAGGTAAGAAGTCTTCCAAGGCAATCTCTATCAGGTGGTGGTAGTGGTGGGTGAATGTTCTGCAGAAACTACTTAGATGGATTGGGGCATCCTTTTGATGATTATTACACAAAGATAGGGGAAAAACAGACAGTCCCTGCCCTTGCTGACCTGTAGTCTAGAAGACCTAAAACAAACTAAGAGCAGGGGATGGGAATAAACTACACACAAAGGATAGTATTGTTGCCTGCCTTTCGAGCACTCTTATAAGTGGGGCTGGCAAATGCAGGACTGGTATGCAGGGCTGGTGTGGGACCCGACAGTATTGTAACTAGGGTAGCCATCATAGAGGACATTCTGGTTTTCTGCTACTCTGTCCTCTGTTGAAACAAAACCCGACACCTTTATGTCCTCTATTTTTTGCTTCAAGACATAAAATCATCAGGTTTCATATCAATAGAGGACAGAGGACAACTGGACTGTCCTCTATGATGGCCACCCTAATTGTAACCCAAGTGGCAAATTTCTCAGACTGTCATAACTTAAGCAGACTCCCAGGATTTAAGTTATCAGGTGCAAAAAGGGTGGAAGAGGATATAAAAGTGTGGTGTTTGCTTTGTTTTATTTTCCGTAGCACTCCAAGCACACAGCTTAGTGTTGCAAGTTCAAGGTGGGTAAAGTGTAGCACAGTCTTGCCCTGGGTCTGTTCCCTGAGTTACTAACCTTTAATGAAAAACAGTTGACAGCACTGTACCTTGGTTCCATCTTTACCTTCAGATAGCCTTTTCCTTATTCCCCCCACCCCACCCC